AAGAAAAGAAACTTCCCTGACCACCGGGGAGGGAAAGTAAGACACTAAGGCGGAGGAGGTGAGACGGCTGCGTGCACAATGTAGAGTGGCGGCGATGGACGCAACACCAACAGGAAGGAGAAGACTGAAGTTTCATTTTCGGAAGGGTTGGAAGGCGTGGGCACGCCTTGGAAGCTAGAGTCTTCTGACCATCAATTCCAAAACTTCATTCCTTAGGCATGATCAACTAGAGTGGGCATGTCCAACTGCCAGCTTCCTGCCACAAAACAACAATCCACTAAATGATACTAACACTTAATAAAAATTCCAAAAATATAAGAAAACTAAAACAAAAGAATCCTTGGGTTGCCTCCCAAGCAGCGCCTTTTTTTAATGTCTTTGGCTAGACATCACCATGTTTATTCATAGAGGATAAAATCGTATAACTCGTTTCAGTGCTTCATCTTCTATATAATCTTGATATCCCTCGTAAATAGAGTAATCTTTGAACACACGAGGTACGGTCTCCCATGGATTAGTTGATGGCGCCAAACAAATAAGTGATGACCTTAAATCTTCACTCATTCCTCCATCAAGGGCACTTATTAGTTCGAGATATTTTGCCATCGTGACTCTTAACTCATTCCTGTCATGAAACTCAAAATTTTCTGGTATAATAAAATCAATCTCACTAACAGGAATTAAAGAATAAGAGTCAGGAGAATATTGATCAAGGAATGGGGGAGGTGTCACTGCATTTGGAGATTGTTCACTGGATTCATCCACTTGAACAATTTGATATTGGGGTTCCTTTTCTTGTACTTCAATTCTCTTTTCAACTGCATCTTTAGATTCTTCTTCATGAGACTCTTGCAGTTCCATGTCATTTGTCAGGATAATTATACCCTCATCTTCTTCATGGTCGATAATAATCGCTGAGGGCAATTCTTCACAAAATGGAGAAATCAATTTGCTCATTGTAGATGCCAATTCACGCCTTCCATCTTCCATCTCTTTAATCAACCTTTGTGTCTCCTGTTGAAATTGACGTGTCTCCTGTTGAATTTGATATGTCTCCTGTTGAATTTGATATGTGTTAATAGCTATTAATTTAACTATTTCTTCAAGAGACATACCTGACATGGATGACGGTCCTTGAGACTCTAGCTGTTGAAAATCTATTGGCCTTTGTTCATAATTAAAAGTGGAATCATCCCACCATCCTTACTCATACCCGTTTGAATAAGGGTCATACCACGTTCGATATTGAGGTGGAAAATCTCCAAAAGTATCGATTGGAGTACTTCGACCATCTTGAAATGCAGGGCATATGTCGGGTGAATAATTCGAAGCAAAATAAGCTCCACAATTTGCAACAGCCCATTGATCATTAGAAAAAGCATGAGTCTCATAACCCCTTGTAAAATTAAAATCCAGTCTATCACCAAAATACGGAATGTTAGCAGCCATAAAATATATACAAAAAAATAAGAGAAAAATAAAAAAAATGAACTCAAAAAGAAACAAATTAATCAGGCACCAATCCCCGGCAACGGCGCCAAAAATTGACAGGTGCCGAACCTGTGCAATAATAAATACCTACTCGAGAAAAAATACAGACTTTTGTATATAGCGGTGAGTAGGGTCGAATCCACAGGGATTGGGGATAATTCGTTTCTTCTAGAGTTCAGAGTATGGAGGGTTTTTGATGGGAGGAAAATAAAAATAAAATAAAATAAAACAAGCAAAATTCAAAACTAACTCACAAAGCACAATTTACTAAAAATAGCAATTAATAAAAGTTCTACCCAAAGGATCAACTGCTCAGGCACGGTCCAAATAAATGCTCATCGATGCAAAGATATTTCATCCATTTATCACTAGGTTGGTTATAGCCATCAATAAACTCTAACAACCAGCTCTTCCTTACTTTTTCGACAGTCAAGGTACGACCATTGACTGCTTCTCTAACCAGATAACAACCCTAGGTACGACCGTAGGAATTTAATTACCCAATTGCATTAAAGTTAGAAGAACCCAACCCTAAACAATAAACACGCTAAGAGGGTTTATTTAAGCTAGATTTTGCGTTTCCCCATCATAAAATCAATTATGGTGGTTGCCACGAGATGTTAACTAAATGAACAATTACGGATTCTATTTAATTAACGTGGCAGTAGACTATTAAATTAAATCAAATACCCGGCCGTTGATATTCAATTAATAAAATACCCATGAACAATTAATTCAGGAAACGCACGAATAGCAATAAATTAGAAGAAATAATGAAAATTCGATTAGATCTCACAGATATTATGGACCGCGCCCTCGCGTCAACCTTTGGGTAGAGGAGGAAATTAGCCGCTCCTCATCGTGTCAATCCCGCGTGGTTTAATTGAAGACACCCGTGCAAACATCACAGAATTTGAAACGCTAAAGTACCGAAGAAAGAAAAAGGAAAAAGTCTTCCTTGTCTCCGCTTTGATGTTTGTACTGAAGCCCCAAAAGTATACGCACAAGCCAACGGAAATTGTACAGAGCCAAAGTAAAAACAAAAGAGTCAAAAGCGCCCAAACCAAGAGCGAAAACGAAAAAGGTCTCTGCCGTCTGACAGCTAGGGAACGAAAATAAGAAAACTAGAGCTAATCCTCCCAATTCAAAAACGTGAATCCCTTTTTCTTTTGGTCTCTTCCGCCTTTTGTAGCCGTCAGTAGTCTTCAAAGGGTTAGGAGGCCCACAACTTTTGTTTCAAGGTTCCAATCCAGTGCTTCGGGTTCACGTGGACTATGGTCCGTCTTTCGGTTTCGTCCACCTTCTAAGGCGTGGCTACGCCCTGAGACGAAAAGTCTTCTAGAAATTTATCTCGCGAGATCATTTTTCATGCCTACCACCTACAATTCACACAAATATCGAATATGAGTGAAATTCCAATTTTTAGCACCGTGAATAGCCAAAATTAGGACAAAATAATAGTGCAAAATACGCCAAATAATCGTTCTATCAGAAAACAAACAATTAGCTTGCTCCATCTCCTAACCAATAAAATAAGCCAACTCAGTTCATGCAAGGGCTTCTTCTTCTTCTTCTTCTTATCATTCATTGATTTCTCAACAAATGATAAGAAGAAGAAGAAGAAGATAAAATCATCCCATTAGTCACTAGCAAATTAATACCACTATGATATTTTGCATAGCCAATTAGGACCACAAAAATTGATACATAAAATTTTGGAAAATGTTGTTTACACTTCCACTATCATTTTAATCACATCATTTTTATTTATTAAATTATATGATAAAACAAAATGATGGGAGTGCAAATAAGAAAAAATGAAGTACGTCCAAATAGGCTTTTCCCAAATTTTATTATGGAAACAAGAATTTGCAAACCAATTCAAGATCAGCTACAAGTTTGTTAGAGAGACAAGAGTTCTGTAATATGTTAATAAAAATTATACCTACAGATAAATGTGAAGTATGTCTACAGTGTGTTTGAGGCATTCATTTGATTAAGTTCATCCATTTGCCTGTTGAAAAACTTAAACTTAATCATGAAAGTGGCTAAATGCAAGGGAAAACACATGAAAATTAATGTGACAATTTAAATGTAAATTATGTATCATGCAGTGTATATTAACCATGAAAATATCTATAATTTTCCTATATTAACACAAACTCAAACCCTTAAACACTTTTCCTTCAAAAAAAAAAAAAAAACCCTTGAGCACAAGATTTCTAATTTGTAGCTAGAAAAGTAAATAAGAATCTTCATATTTTGTCTCAAACTGAGCTCTTGATTCACAAAGCTTTCTTTCCTACTTTTTGGTCCACTATTCCCATGTCAAAAATAGTTTTCAATCGAATATTATTGACTCGCAAGGTACTTACATCATCATGAAGGCCTTAAACCCAAGGATCTTCATTTGGGAACAAACAAAATGAAAGTGAAAAAAGGGGGGTAAAAAAGAAATTTATAGCAAAATATGGTGCTTTTAGATTTTTTTTTTGAAAAAAATTTATTGTAACACTTTTCTAATAAATATATTGATGAAATTTTAAAAAAATGGTTAAAATAGTATTCAAAAACACTATACAAATGAAAGTTTAGTCTATGCATCATCACCTTCAAGAATTTAATGTTTACATACAAATAAGTCTCATTTAGTTATAAGCTAAGGGAGTTTTATGATCAATGCAATTTCTCCTTTATATATAGGGAAGGAAATGAGGTGTGTCATAGGCTAGCAAAATTCACTTTGAAGTTAGTTAATGATGTGTATTGAGAAACAAATTTCCCGGGTTGGATAAAATATCTAGCACGAAAGGATTGTGAGGGTAACTTGCCCCTTTTGTAAAGCATACTTGTATTATCAAGTTTAAATCAATACAAATGTTATCGTTTTGACAAAAAAAAAAAAAGTTATATGGAATTGCATTCTTTTCCCTCTTTTGTACAACATATTGATCTACTTATTGAATACAAATAAAATATTTTTGTATATGTTCTTAGAATTTCTAAAAATATGTATTGCAAATCAAACTAACATTGCTAAAAATTTATGAAGTTGAAATTACAAACACCACCAAGTTAAACTAAAAATTCAAAATCTTGCTACTCCGCAATTATTACAATGACATTATTAGTTTTAATATCCATATCACAGTGTAGAGAGTTGTCCATCATATTTCTTTTTTAAAGTTTCACATCAAATTAGAGAGCCATCCAATATAATTTTTTTGCATTATTCTAGATTCCTAATTATCTAGTCAAAACCATATTAAACTTTATTCAATTTTTTACTAGTTTTTTAAGTTTGATTAAAGATAGCAAACTTTGCAGGGTTCATTTTAGGAAAAAGTGGAGTCATTGGAGTAAAATTTAGAAAATTAAAAATAGCAGTTCTAGTTGTACACTTGCACTAGGTACAACAAAGCAAAGAAAGGTTAAAATAAAGAAAAAAAAAAAAGCACAAAACCCTTGATACCACGTCGTTTAAGTCCCAACCGTTCACCAGTATACCAATCGAAAGTCGAAGCTCATCCCAGATTTTGCAAAAGGAGAAGAGAACTTCCCAAATCTCTGGCGTAAGTATGCCGGCCTCCTCCACCTCATCATCCTCGGCGTCCTCTTCATCGGACAGCTCGTCGGATTCTTCGCCTCGGCGCCACCGTCGTCGCCGCCATCAACGCCGAGACAAAGACAAAGACCGAGACGAGCTCAAGGTGAGCAAGAAAAGCCACCACCGCTCTTCTCAATCCAAACGGCGTCGTCATAAGCGCCACTCCTCCTCGTCCGACCGATACTCTTCTTACTCCTCTTCCGCTTCATCGGATGATGATTACAGGTCTCATTTTTTTTTTTCGACCCTTCCCTTTTATCTTGTATTTTAATTATTTCGAAAAGAAAATCTCCCCTCTGTTATTTGATGAAGTTTGGATTTTTCTTTTCTCGGAAATCTGTTGACTGACGTTTGTTCTAGGATGTTACGGATTGCATTTGGTTGTTTTGGGGATTGTAGTTCTTTAATTTTTCCTTTTTTTTGGGGGGGGGGTGTGTGATTTATTTAATTTAGATTCTTTTTCTAAGGTTGCATTTAATTATCGTGAATTCTGCCTTGTCAAAAAGCAGTGAAAAATGCAACGGGTGGTTTGGTTGGGTAGAGAAGATTTTAGCTTCTTGTTCTGAAAATAATATTGAGCTTTTAGTAAGCTAAAAGGAAGCTATAGATATGTAGGAACATCTAAGAATATTCTTTAGCTGGAAGTAAGCAGTGCTAGATTAAACATACTATTAGCTCATGAAATCCGACCTTTAGGGTAAGGTAGACCATTTTTGTCATCTACTTGCTAATTCAAGCTGCAATACAAGGAGGCATAATGGAGGCGTTCATAAAGGCATTACTTAGGTCACTTTGGTGCCTTGACAGTCTGTGACAGTAAATAAACCTTGTATTTGCGGTGGTTTATTGTTTTTTACTTTTCTTTCTAGGCTTGGGGTTAGAAACCTTGTTTTGAGTTGTTTATGACCTAAACTGTTTTAATATCATTTTTCAAGGATATTCATTCTTTTTCACTTTGTTTTCAACTTCAGCGTGGGCTCCCCTTGGGCAACCTACGCACTTGTTGTAGTTAGGAGACACTTGCTGTTAAGGTGTTTGTAATGTCAGTTGAATGTAAGTCTAGTCACTTGCTTGAAATCATTTATTAATTCAATGCAAAATTTTAGGCTTTGCCTTTGTCAAAATTTTTCTTGGATTTTCCTTATGAGATGGTGGTACCAATTTGAACTTTATACTTTCGAGTATTCTTAGCTTGAATAGAAAGCTTTCATAATATAGAGGCGGTGCAGTCAGCAGATGCTGCTATGAAGAGAAGGGACGGGAACGGGGGATAATATGCTGCCTATATTTTGCCAAAATTAACTATTTCATAGGTTGAGCAGACTAATAGAATGCAAATTATATTAAACAGACAAAACATGGAATGCTGGGAATCAATAACTTGTTCACTCCATGAGATGGTGCTCATTCTATTGGATCTGATTTTAATTTGTCTATTGGTAACATGGTTACCTGGTATTGAGCAAGAAATGGTAGAAGATTGGTCAAGATTCCTTAATACGATTTGCACTGGAAATACAGGACTATCGCATTAGCCTAAATCAGTTCAAATTTTTCACAAGTCTCTTCAAAATTGTTTAATACTACCATGTGGTCAACTTCTTTTTAGCTATAAAAGTTGGAACTGTATTTTCCAGAAGCCTGCTTCAAGTCTGATCTCTTACTTGTTCCAAAAGTGCAGGAAATCTACATTAAAAAACTGGAAAGTAATTGGTAGTTAGGAGGTTTCCTAGTATCTATAAGGTTTCTTAAAATGCTTTCAATTCTGGTTTTGTTTGATCCGATGTTAAAGGGGGTTGCTTGGTTTATTGCGGTCTAAAGATGGGCAGATCATCTTACTTATTAGGCAATCTCTGTAAGGCTTACCTAAAAGTTCTCTGCTCTGTTAATAAACTCATTATGCCGTGCATTAGAGGGTCTGTACATTATGTTGTTCTCAAATGATGCCATATTGCACTTTGGCTTTTCCCCCTCAAACACAAGGAACTTGAATTTGAATTTCTATTAATGTATATATGCTGCAGATTGAAAAAGTGACTTCGAATTACTATTTGGTTTAATTAAACTATAACAGGAACTTGGAGATTTCGTCTCATGCCATATTTTTTGTTATTGCAGTTCCTCTGATAGTGAACATGACGCATCAAATCGTTCAAAGAGGCACAAATCGAGTGACAGACCCAAGAAGGTTGTCTTGAATAATGACTTTATTTACTTCCCATTGGTTACTATTCCTCTTCCATTGTGTAACCTTCTAATGGCTTCTGATCTTTCAGAGCAAGGATAAAGAGAAAAGGAAAAGCCATCAGCATAAACGTCACAAGCACAAAGTCAAAGAGGTAGATTACTGGTTCAGCTTTGGATTAGAGTGATCACATCCCTAATGTTGTGATTGAAACAACCTTCTTAGCCATGTTAAGAGTTCTCTCATGTGTGGTAGTTTATTGGTTTTGTTTTTATGAATTGGTGTATACTTTTTTTGACGTGACGCTTATAATACTTTCTGTCTGTTTTAATTAATGGCTCTTCGAAATTGGAGCTGGGTCTGTGGCATGATGATGGGGTGGTTGATTGGCTTGCTCGGATGTTGTTTCTGCCTCGGATTTTATCCTGGTAATGGGAGCTATATATAGAAGCAGCAGGAGGAGAGTAGCAGCCCTGTGCAGCTGTCTAAGGTTGTCTTTTCGCCCTCTAAGATTTCCTTTTGAAATTTGCTGCTTAAGTTTTCTTTTCCTCTGTGAACTAATTTATATTCTGGGTACAATACAGTTTCTGGGACGAGACAAAGATGACAGTGTCCGTCGTAGTGCTGTCTCTGGCAAAAAGGTAGATGTCCGGCTTCTTAAAATTAGCACAATATAGTCATCTAAATGTAAAACATTAATGCAAACTGGTGTCTTGGAGGATTTCATGACTCTATATTGTGCGTAGATCTTCTTACTGAAATATGAAAAAGTCAGATGAGCTGACTCGATGCTCATGCTAGAAAAGATTTGCTTTCTACTGGTTGCATTTGATTCGCATTAAGTAGCTTTAGATTGTCATATATATTATCAGGAAGACACCTAAGGTTATATCGTGTTCTTGACTTGTAGATTCTATTAAAGCTTGAGAAATCAAAGGAGGACAAAATGGCAGAAAATAATCGGAACAAGCTACTGAATTTCTTGAATGCTAGTTATGATTGATCAGGGACCCCAGAAAGGTTTCGTGGAATGGGATTTCTTGGGGCAGATGATTGAAGCTGTAAGACATTCATGAGGATTCAAAGGCACTCCATATATTAGTTAATTACAAGATATGGAAGTGTGTTCTTTCTCCGCCTCATGGTTTTTTGAGAACTTATATGGTTGTTGTATCATTATTCTTATTATTATTATTGACATTGTAGCTCGATTTTGCATTTCTGACATTCAGCGTTATACGACTCCTGATTTTGCGTTATTTAGTTGTATCAAAAGCTGTTACATCAAAACTGTTTTGGTGGTCTTTTGGGGCATCCACAGCCATCTTCCCTGGCTTTTATAGTATAAATAGATAAGGCCCCGGACTGGAGTTAAAAAGAAATTTGCGCAGGTTGTTATCATCAACTGATTGAGGTGCTGATCAATTATAGTATAGAATGTGCCGCAAGATGTTCCAAGATAAGTTTTCTTGATCCGCATCCAATACTTTGATTTAACTTCAAGCAATGTCCGACTACGAACTATATTAGCATGTTATTTTGGGATGCAAGTTAAAGAATCTTTTACCTTAAATATGCTCTTTTGGATTGCTATGTTCAATATTTTCATTGTACTTACAGGCCGTGTAAGTTTGTTCATTTGTAGCGCTATTTTTGTGATAAAATTAATATTCGGAATGCATTCCATAGAATTAGGGATGTACGCGAGTCGTAATCGAGTAGCTCAGTCAACAGCTCAACCCGAGTTCGAGCCGAGTCTCGAGCTACTCGATGTCATTCGAGTCGAGTTTCGAGCCAATATTTTGAGGCTCGAGACTTGTCAAGCTACTCGTCGAGCTGGAGTATTTAAATAATATATTTATAATTTAAATAATATATGTATTATAATTATAAAATGATCATTATCAGTATAAGTTTTACGAAATTTACATTCGAGTCGAGTTAAAAAACTTGATTAGACTCGACTTGATAAGGCTTGACTAAAGGTCGAGCCTTATCGAGTCGAGTCTCGAGCTTAAAGCGAGTTTCTCGAGTCAAGTTTCGAGTATCGATTTTTTGTACTCGGTCGAGCTCAAGCCTAGATATATATGAGTCGAGTCGAGCTCGAGTATAACAATACTCGAGCTCGACTTGGCTTGATCACATCCCTATATAGAATGCCATTTTGCAGATGTAATATACAGCCTTGCGTTGCCATGCTAGATCAAGAATGGAAATGAAGTAGTTTGAGAGATTTAGAGGATGCCTTTATTTTTCCCCCAAAACGATAACTTTCATCGCATAAAAACTATGTTACAAAATTCTGAGCAACTGCTCGTCATATCTTCCTTGGTTAGTGTATCGAGCCAAGTTGGGAAGTTTCTTTCCCAGGTTACAAAGTAATCAAGCCAGAGCAAAATTTGCCAGCGTATGACTAACTACATTGTTTATTCTTCTAATCAAAGAGAAAATGCAAAACATCAAACTCATTCTTCAACTTGATAATATCCTTCAGAATTGTAGTGCAGTACACATTCTCAGCAGAGTTTTCTTGCAGCTTCCGTATTACATTTTTGCAATCTGGTCGAATCTGTATTTCCTTCCATCCTTTCTGTTTAGCTTTCATTAAGGCCATTTGTATGGCTAATTCTTCTTCCACAGTTGGTTCTGAAGGACATTTTTGAGGAATTGCCCACGTGGAGATCAGTTTCCCTTCTGAGTTTCTAGTCACTATACCCCATCCAGCTTTCCCTCTTGATGTCTGTACCGCTGCATCTATATTGATTCTGATGCATTTCTCCTTGGTGGAACCCATCTTTTATCTTCTTCTTTAGGCCCTCTGATCTCCTCTTGTTCCATTATAGCTGTTTGTGCTTCTTTGCACTCTATCCATTCTGATATGGCCTTGTTGATCTGTGTCATTGGTTGCCTCTTCATTGTGTTGAACTGGAACTCGTTCCTCGCCTTCCAAATCTGCATAAAATATTGATGGTTAAAGCAATATGATCATGACCATTTTCTCTCTGGGTCACTCCCAGAAGCTCAGTGCCAGAAGTTGTCTCTATACTTTTTCAGTCCATCCCATTTTATAGGAGCACATTTCCATATTGCTTCTGCATTTTTACAGAAGAAAAACATGTGCTCTAATGTTTCCACTTGATTGCCACAGACACTTGCACGTTGTTCTCCTTTTCCCATCCTAGTCTTTATCACTTCATTCACAAGTAGAAACCCCTTTAGGAATTTCCATATGATGTTTCACATTCATTCCCCCCAACAGTTTCCATATTCTTGTTCTGCTCTCATTTCTGCTACTTTCTCCACCTATGATACTCCTGGATATCTTCTTTCTTTTCAGTTCCCTCGCCAGCATATACCCAAATCTTACTGTATACCCACCAGTTGGTGAGTGAAAACAATAGAACCTGTCTTTTGCCTTGCATGTACTTTAGAGGGATTTTTAGTACTTCTCTTGTATCCTCGCTGAAATGGACTCTATCAATTGCTTGTTCCAATTTTCATTTGTGATCAGCTCTCTTACTTTGCTTATATATCTCCCCCATTGGTGGTGATGACTTAACCAAGCCATTTTCTCTCCCTAGAAGCCACTTATTGATTATGAAAGAAAAAAGGGATAATTACAGAAACCTCTCCTAAGGTATATAATTAAGGCCTCTTCTGAAGTTTGTATTTATATACAAATCTCCCCTAAAATTTAACGTTTCGATAACAAAGTTAGTCCAATTAGAAAAAGTAATATTAAAAAAGTACTTTAAGAAAAAGGATGAAAATTTTATTTCATAAATGCCTCTTATGTAGGTATATAAATCGTATTAGTAAAAGAATAAAATAATTAAAAGTTAGTAACAACTAATGAACACATTTAACCACTCAAAAAGTTTATATTTAATAAATTAGACAATAAAAATAAGCAACAAAACTACACTAATGATTACAAAATTCAATAAAATAGACCAGTCATTTCTTTTACTTGATGTTTGATATGATTATTGTCGTTTTGAACAGAAAAATTTTTAAATTTTGTCTTTCTTTTCCCTCCTTTCTTCCTTATTTTCATGAAATTACTTTACAATTGTCTCATTTATTTCCATAAAATTACTTTACAGATTGTTACAACTTTAAAAATTTCAAAGAAAATTGAAAGGAGAGAAAAGAAAGGCAAAGTTTGAAAATTTTTATGTTCAAATTACAAGAATTATAACAAATATCATGTTAAAAAAGATGACTAGTTTGTTTTGGCAAATCTTGTAATTATTAGTATAGTTTTGTTACTTACCTGTGCTGTCTAATTTATTAAATATGAACTTTTTGAGTGGTTAAATGTGTATATTAATTATTGTTATTCTTTTACTAATATGACTTATGTCCATGCATAAGGGGTATTTATTAAATAAAAGTTTCAACTCTCTGCTCAAAGTACTTTTTTAATGTTACTTTTTCTAATTGGACTAACCTTTTATCAAAATCTTAATTTCAGAGTAGGTTTGTATAATTTTACAAACTTCAGAGAAGGCTAGTGAAATTGTCAGAAACATCCGGGGAGATTTCCGAAATTATCCCAAGAAAAATGGATGAAGGGCAGGAGGGTTCAAAAGGAAATAAGAAGATGCATATGTGGGCAATAGCGCTCATACAAAATTGGCGCCGGGAAACCTTCGACCCCCAATCTTTGTATAAATAGTAGCAGCCCAGATCAGTGACTTCGTTTTAGGGTTCGAGACCGCCGCCATGCGGCCTCCTCATCTTACCCATTGTTCTGTATCTCTCTTCATTTTGTCTTGGGTTTCTTCTCAGCAGAAGCTTCTTTTTTTTTTTTTTTTTTTTTGGGTTTTCTGTTCTTGTTTTACCTTTACTCTGTATCTCTCTTCTTTTCGTCTTCGTTTTTTCGCCCAACAGCAATTTCTTTTTTTGATTTTTTTTGGTTTATTGTTTCTGGTTTTATCGCACATAGTTCTTCTTGCAATTCAATCACAACAGTTTCCAAGATTTTATCTGTGCGTAAAGAAATCATCCATTCTGCTTGAGCTTTCTCCCCATGAAACTGTGGAGCTATGCTTCAATGGTAATGGCTGACAACCTCAACTATGACATTATTCTTTCCCCTATAGAAAATGATATAATTTTTTCTTTCAAAAACGTCCGAATCCTTGTCTTGCCACAATTGGCAAAAAATGGAAACAAAATCAATTTTTTCTTTTTGGATAATGCCCCTTTGATTTGAAGGCCAAGCTTATAAATTTGACACGTTATTGTCTTTTCTTTTTCATTTTTTGCACATAAACTCTCAAATGAGGCATTAGGTACGAGGTCCTTGGTCATATCAATGCTATGCTTGTACTACTAGTTATTGATGTATTGTTTGTGTTCTGCAAATTGAAAATAAAGAGTGGCACTTGGCTCCTAATCAAAGATTAATTGTTATGAATCTAACTCTTACTCTTTGTTTCAATTGCATCTTTCTAGATTTTTTATAAAAAAATTATTGTGACGATGTGAGGTAAAATGGTGATTGAAAAATGTGTCTACGAAAAACGTAAAATTTTTCTTTAGAAAATTACAATCCAACCACTCCTTAAACATTGAAGGATTTGTTGATCATCTCAAATGAAAAAATTGGATTAACTTCTTATATATAGATAGTGTAGTGATTTTTGTACACTAACAATTATGAATGCATTGTATTTTTAAATTTGAATTCATGTTATCCGGTAATGATTTAAATTTATAATTGTAAAATATATTTATACTAATAGTGTACACAAAAATTTATTTTCAAAAATTTGGCCTGAAAAATGTACACAATGTATAAGAATTTTACTCTAAAATTCGACCAAAAAAAATCAAATCTAAGGGAGACGAAAAAGGGGTCAAAAGAAGTATGATGGACGGATCAGATGTTTTATTGCATCGAGGGACAGCAGCCCAACCCAAACCCATCATTGTCTTGCTGCCCAGTTTCCGACCTCAACTAAGCTTGTTTTGGATTGGATCTAACTCTAATATGTAACATTGGCGTATTTTTTATGAAATCAAAATTTTGTAAATCAAAAGAAGTGTAATTGACGGAAAAGGAGAAATATGAATGGATAACATTTTATTGCATTCCAGGGACATGAGCCCATCCCAAACTGAACCAACTGGGTGGGTTTCTGGCCCATTCCAACCCTACAAATCTGTCAACTGGCAATCCACAACATCTACACCAAACTTTAGGAGCCTGGACCTGTGACAAACATTTTACCTTATGAAAATAATTTCAGGGAGATTTTACGGTCCTTTTTGGATATCATACGCCCAAGTTA